ACACGATTGCTGAAGACAAATGTGTGCATAAGCAAATGTGGTGAAGAAAGCTGATGGTGCCCAGCTATCAAAAGGTATAGCATCTGGGATCTTAAATGCTTGAAGGTAAACAAGCAGCCATGTAGCTCAGAAGCAACCAAGCCCACATGGACGAAGCACATGTGATCTCGAGGTGTTGATAGGATCAGGTATCAGGCATAAAAGAACAAAAAGTATTATCATTGTGAATAAGGGGGAGTGCAGAGTGGAGACCCAAAGCCTCTCTGTAGGCAACTAGACATCCCCTTACAGAAGGGTCATGGGGAGGAGATGAGCCAGTCAGGGTGCAGGATAGCACTGATGAAACATACAACTCTCCTCTAGTTCTTTAATGCTTCCTTCCCCCACTATCATGATCCCAATTCCAGCTTACAAATCTGGCTAGACCAGAGGATATACACCAGTACATATAAGAGCTGGAAACACAGGGAATCCAGGACAGATAAACCCCTCAGGACCAATAATGAGAGTAGCGATACCAGGAGGGTAAGGGTAAGGTTGAGGAGAACGGAGGAACTGATCACAATGATCTACATATAACCCCCTCCCTGGGGGGCGGACAACAGAACAGTAAGTGAAGGGAGACATCGGACAGTGTAAGACATGACAAAATAATAATTTATATAAATTATCAAGGGTTCATGAGGGAAGAGGGCAGGGAGGAAGGGGGAAAATGAGCTGATACCAAGGGCTCAAGTAGAAAGCAAATGTTTTGAGAATGATGATGGCAAGAAATGTACAAATGTATTTGTCACAATGGATGTATGTGTGGATTGTGATAAGAGTTATACGAGTCCCCAATAAAATGATTAAAAAAAAGAGAGAGAACTTTACCTTTCAAAAAAAGAAAAAACTCATGCAATGAAATTGAAATGTACATGTTATTAGCATCAAGCCTTCTAGTAGAAGAAATATGGTAGAGTTTCCAAAATGCATGTTATCTACTTAAAATACAAGCCAGGCTTGATTTTCTTTTTGCTAACAATGCTTTCTGACTCTTCTCTCACTTCCTGTTCTCTTTTTGATCGGCTTCTTTACTTCTGCTTTTCCTCTGAGGGTTGCCTACGCCCCCTGATCTTGATCCCGGCCTTACTCCCGGTGCTGTTCACTACTCTCACCCTGAAACATTCTCCTTTGGATTCTGTGACCCACTTTCTCTGTGTCTCTTCTCTGTGGGCTTCCTTCTCTCTGACCCTTCATCAGGACTGAGTGGAGTCTGCCATCCTCTTGCTCCACAGGCTCCAATTTGGACATGTGTGTGTTCCCCTACCTCCTGTGTCTTCCTGCTTCTTCACACCTGCTGTGCCATTCTCCTAACACGTGTCAGACTGTTGATGGACATCCACCCCCACAGGGGTGCGCCTGCTCCTGGGGTGCCTACCATTCTGGGAGATTGCTGCCCCCTGCAGGGCATGTTCTCCACAGTTTGGCCTCAGAGACTTAAGGTCAGAATAGATCTTGTCTCTTATCCGTTCTCACAGTTAGTGGCATCATTGTCTCAGATTTCTCTTTCTTTGTCATTATCCTTCAGTGCCCTTATCACGCTATCTCATACCTTCCTTCTAACTTCTTAAATTTATGCTTTACATTGCACAGAAAAGAACCCTGTCACTTCTCTGTTCACAGCGCCTTACTGACTGCCACTATTGAACAGGCTCCTGGTGTCATCTGTGGCACCCCAGACCTCACTCACTCTGCCTCTGTGCCTGTGGATGGCAGCTCTCCGGCTCAGCAACGTCTTAGCCCACCCATAGCCCACCAAGCAGACTGGTTCCTTCTCCTTCAAAGGCTGAGGCCTTAGCATTCTCTCCACTGGTGTAAATGCCTTAAAGGCAGGGGTTTATAGCCTCACCTCTTTATCTCTAGTGACTGCTACTTTGTAAGCATTCAGTAAGCATTCAGTAAGCATTCAAGAAGTAAATACAGCTCCACTTTAAAAAATACGGATATTTTCATTTTCAAGAAAATCTTAACAAGAAAATTTGGTACTTTATCTGTATGTATGTTAAAAAACAGACAGTGATCATTGCTTAATGTCCACTAAACTCTGAATATGTAAATAACAGTAGAAGAAATATAGCCAGGAGAGAGTATGAGTTATCAGATAATGTGGCTGTATGAATTTTTAGGGGATTTTGGCATGTTTTGCAGATCAAGGATCAGGATTCTGCGTAACTGGCAAAATTGAAGCTGGTTATATCCAGACTGGTGACCGGCTACTGGCAATGCCTCCTAATGAAACCTGTACGGCAAAAGGTATCCCCTTAACCTCTAAGTTAATTCAAGAGCTTATTTGAAGTAGTTTAGTTACTGACTCTTACTGAAACTATACCTGTCAAAATGATACTAACTGTTGAAGATCAAAATGTGAAAACATTAAACGATTTTTCTCTGAGTGTGTATATATGCACATGTAGTATGCTAATTGTGGTAACGCTTTATTTGTTGACCTCAGTTCAAGCAGCCTGATGAGGATTTGATCAGTGGTATAGACCCCTGACAGATTCAGTCAAGACCTTAAGGTGGAGCAGAAAGCCACTCTAAACCTAGCCGAACATTGAAGAGTCACTGGGGAAGCCGACCACTACCATCTGGTGTTGTGTTGTTGTGTCATGCATATTTCAGACCTATAGCAAGTTAACAGCCGGGGTCATGTTTATACCCCTTTCCCCACCCCCACCCCCGAATGCTGGGAGATATCAGTGTGCAAATATGCAAATGCAGGAAAACCTCATTTGAAAAGCGAAATTGAACTAGTGTAAAGCCATGCCATCTCTGACTTTGCACGTAGACCTAATGCCCGTGTGACCATCCTTTGTGTCTTTGGATCATGTGGCTTTACACTTCCGCATGGAGACACATGGATTCTTCTCTGATTTCTGATTAAAGGTGTATAATTCCATATGTACCTTGATCTGCTTTCTAACAAAGCCTTTGCCTTCAAAATACAACTGAAGCTCTATTTTAGCCTATAGGCAAGATTCTCTGTAATACCTTTAAGTGAAAGTATGGCCTATTGAGATTGAAAAAAAAAATTCAGTATTTTTCCTTCTGTTACTCTAAGGTATAGTTTAGAGTTAGTTTACTGATGTTATTTGTTAGGCTGAGCCAGTGTGCTCACTTTCAAAGCACACTTGTTGACGATAAGAGGTTTCATGCCAGCGTAGGCCACATCGTGAGGCCTAAATGTAGAGCGGAGTCAGGGATGTTAGCAAGGACGGTGCAGCCCTCAGTTTTGTGTTTCCACGTGATGGATAACTACGATACTTCTTGTAAAGGTTGCAAGTTGTTTTGGCCTAAGATTTTCTTTGTTAATAATGTGGCAGGCAAGAATTAGTCTCTGATCCCAAATTTATCAGACCTTCCCGATTGGCTCCCTCGTGCCTTCCAAAACCATTTCTAGGAGCTCTTACACTCTCCTTGAACCCCTCAGAGCTTAAGAATACGCTGCATACAAATAAGAGTGTTTTCCGAACCGTACGGGTAGTTTATGATTTACCAAAGACAAGTTAAATAGAATCTGCACAGTGGATGGCCTACACACTGTTCATCAAGAAGCTCACGTTCCAACAGAGAGGCTGGTTCTCGTGCAGAACAGGTGGGCTTGCTTGCTTAGGTTTCTGAAGGGAGTGGCTGAGGGTCCCCTGGCATTTCTCTCCAGGGCCACCTCTGGCTAGTGTCAGTATGTGCAGCCTGGGAGTCTTTTTGAAATGAAATTTTATTTTTACAGTTTCCAAAAATAGATCCTTTTTCTTAGACCAGTCTTCAGAGCCCTTTCTGGGAAGACTTCATTGAGCCAGGAATAGTCGAAGGGGCTGATGAGGATCATGTGCAGCAGTGACTGAGCACTGATTCCCCCCAGATGACTTGGGTGAATCCCCCCAGGCCATCATTTTGGTGCTTGTCTGAAAGCAGAATGCAGGAAACCAAAGTAATACTAGGTGTCCTATATTTTATGTCCCTAAAGATCAGTGAAATGGTATCATTATGCCTGCACCCATTGAAGTAGGATTTGCGTAAGGACTATAAGGGCCTGGTGGTTTGGGGGGTGAGCTCCTGGCTGCTCACTGAAAGACCAGCAGTTTGGACTCAGCAGTCACTGCATGGGGGAAAGATGTGGCATCTGTGCATAAACCTGGGGCATCCACCCTGTCCTAGAGGGGCACTGTGAGTCAGAATTGCCTTGATAGCAAGGCATTTGTTTTCAATGACTTTTATCTCTTGAGTAAATGAGTATAAAAATCTGCATTAAACAAGCAACACTCAGCCTTTTATGGCCAGAGGTGAGTCCTGTTCTGTGTAGGGTGTGTGCTGGAAGAGTCAAGTCTAGAGGAAGTGTATTTCCTCAGTGCGCACAGTTAGACTTCTCACTCTCGATCCATTCATACTGAAAATGATGAGTAGCGACTGATGAAGCACAAATCAGCCAAACTGTCAGGGTTGTTACGATTTGACAGGAGGTGTTTCACTCTGTGCTTTGGTTCTTACTCACTTGCAGGAATCACTCTGCACGATGAACCTGTCGATTGGGCGGCAGCCGGAGACCATGTTAGTCTTACGTTGGTTGGGATGGATATCATCAAAATCAAGTGAGTGTGAAGATGAGTGTGGGCAACCCTTGATTTGGATAGTGGCCTCAGAAAGCACCTGGGCTTGGCTATACGCGGGCTCACGCGAAAGAATTGGTGTTCATTTTGAATCTCACTTGGTCAAACCCAGACCCCAGTGAAGGTATAGAAATGATAAGAAAAACATAGTCTACTTCAAATGGGAATTAATTCAAACCAGCCAGCGTACTTGCCATGTGAAATCAAGTGTGTGAAAAAAGTGATCGAGAACTAGTGGGATCACCCTTGTTTTCTCTAACCCAGGAAGGAGCGTTTCGTAACGGTCCCTCCTTTAGGTAGTTGCTTTCCTTTCGTGGCAAATGGTTTGAGGGGGTTCCTATTGGATATGAATCTATTTCCATCTGCCTTCCCTTTGCTTTGTTTTTCTCTTGCTTCAGTGTTGGCTGCGTGTTTTGTGGCCCCAAAGATCCCATTAAAGCTTGCACTCGCTTCCGAGCCCGAATCCTCATCTTTAATATTGAAATTCCCATCACTAAAGGATTTCCTGTAAGTTTCCGAATGCTTTACTCTGGTGGTATACATAAAATCAAAGTAGCTTTATCCTTAAAAAAAAATCATAAGTTTCTTAGTAATGATGCTATAGTTCTTTTCAATTGTATTATTACTTGAACCCAGAAAAGTATTAACATAGAACTTGGAAATGATAGCAGTTTTTTGGTGGTTGTTGTTCCTGAGGAATTCTTAAAAAGAGGGATTGAGGCCATTTGTAATTAGTGGGATACAGACTGATGATCATAAAATCCATATAAGGAAAATGGTAGATGTTTTTTATTGTGTTCTTAATAGCCACTCAGCAGATCTCTCTCTCTCTCTCTCTCTTTTTTTTTTGTTGCTTTGTTTAATAATGCATATGTGCCAATTATCTGGCGATAAAAGTGATACATTCTTATAGGACATTTGGGGCACCCATAAAGAAAATAAGAATGCTCCGTAATGCGGAATCTACATTACTGTTGGGGTTTCAGGCAATTTTCATATGTATAAGGGGGATTCCAAAAATTTGACAACAAATTCCACTTTCTTTTCATTCCATTTTCCCTCAAAAGTCTTGAGGTCCCCTGTACATAGATATTGCCCACCCACGAGTATTGATGGTCTGTCCGGAGCTTCTCCACACTGGGGAGCAGCACTCTCAGACCCTGCAGCAGTGAGGCTGGCCTGTAGGCCCGAGTGGACCAGTGACATTTTAACATGTACATGACATGGGTAGAGGGAGACTTTGTCCTATCATTACAGGATTCGTGAATATCAAAAATTCCTTGTTTTATGTGTAATTTTTTTCTGTGCATTTAGAACCTTGACTTTGTTAAGGTTTTTGCCCATTTGACTTTCTTTTTTCAGATCAACTCAAATAGTACAGATTCTGTATAAACATAAAAGTATTCTTAGTGGAATGAAAAACTGGCTTTGGAAATATGAATGGATTATTTCTACCATTTGACATGACTTGAAATAAAAATAAGTCACTGATAACATTGGACTTTGAACATTTTTCTAAGTTGGTGGTAGTCTTTAGATTTGGGAATAAATTTAGTTAGCTCACTTAAATTAACTTTACACTTATTTGAAATTAAATCCTAATCATGTACATTGCTCATAATTCCTTGTAACTATTTTTATATAAATTGAAGCATATTAAATTATGTTTTTAAGATGCCTTTATAGTTATGTTCTGTTTCTCCTACATCCTCACAAGGGAGCAAAAGTCTCTTTCCAATAAAATTGTTAAATAGGTAGCTCCCAGGTTACAAGCGAAAACTATGCCTTGAATTTTTAATATTAATAGTCGTTACAAGGGTTGATTTATAACTATGGATAAGTTGATAGTTTGTCACCCAGAAACTGTCTGTAGTTGAAAATACTTAATTTTTAGATATTCAAAATTCAGTTATTGTTAGCCATAACAATACACAACTACAAGTGAATCACAATACACAACTACAAGTGAATGGGTAAGGGGAACTCATTCTTAGAAAGTGATTTCGCTGGCGAGGGTGAAGCCTGAAGAGTTGGATTTACTCAGACAGTATTATTTGCCAAGGTGCAGGTAGAGAGGTCAAGAAGTCAGAAGTTACTTTGAATAGTAATATTGTCTTCCTGCCAACTATGGCTTCTTAAAAATAAACATGAATTGAAAGTTTTTCAGTGCCGCTTTATGAGACCCTGCTGGAATAATCTTGATTCACAAATGCCAAGAGGAAAATTGTTTCAGGAAAGAAGCTTCAAGGGTACCATTCAATTCAAGGACCAATCCTAATGGGGAAAAGCACTTACTATTTTTTTAATCAAGGAGAAACTTAAGGAATGAAACCTTTATGGGGAGTAAGTTTTAATGGGACGAACATATATCCAAGTTCCCCTTGTTTATATGGTAAACTCTGTGTACATGATACAAAGTATCATATACACATATGTAGACATATAAACTATATTAAAAACACTTTTTAATAGGAAAATTTGAAGACTAGATTGGACGTTAACAGAATTTCTATTATTTGCTATTCATAAACCTAGGTTACCTGTTAGTTTAAGGAAAGAAAACACTGACTTCGCTTATTGCAGTGCTTAACATATGATTCAGCATATGATAGTTTACAAAACACTGGATAATTTGATTCTCGCAATTCCACATCCAGTACGGCCTCCTAGTCGTTCTCTAAACACCGCCCCCCCCACCCCAGACCAGTGTGTATCAAAATCCAGAGCTCTGCATTTTAGAAAGGTATTTTGATATGTAAAACCCCTAATAGGATGGAGCAGCACCCTACATTTCTACAGCACATCATTTCAGAAGTAAATACTTCACAGGTTCTTAATTGTGTCTGCTAACATAGGCCCTCTCAAGGCATAGCGGTGGTTATCTGGGCTGCCAGCCCAAGGGCGGCAGTTGGAAACACTAGCTTCCAAACTAGAGAAAGGCTGCGCTCCTCTCCTCTCGGAAGCGCACAGCAGCAGTTCGCCCTGCCCTGTGGGGCCGCAGTGAGTGGGCATGGACTCGGTGGCAGTGAGTTTGTTTGAGTTTTTGTAGCACAAAAACTTGGCTTGAATCATTCCTTTGTCCAACATATCAATGATCTATACATGACCCACTAACATATCTATGCCCTATACATACCCACCTTGTAATCACTTGTAGTCATACTTGTTTTCAGAGCAACAGTGGTGTTGAAGTTCTTGCATTTAAGTAACACTTACTTAGTTGTTCTGTTTTATTATTATTATTCATTTCTTATTGTGCCTAGTTTGTAAATGAAATTTTATCATAGTTTAGTAGGTATGAGAAAAGAAACCTGGGCTGCTAGGGTTCAGTACTACCCTCAGTTGTAGGGAATCATTCTGGGACTGTAGAATAAGCACAACATTTCGCTTTGACATATATCCCATGACCATATTTTACTGATCAGGAATCTGAGGCTGTGATGCTGGAGGTGTGGGTTGTCAAAGAACTTGCCCCAGATCACAAGGCTAGAAGCTGAGTCAGGATTTGAACCCAGTTGTCTGATCTGAAAGCCTGTCTAACCTCTTGCGTATTAAATAATAAATGTAAATCATACTGCCACAAAGCGTGGCACCCAGGAGCAGCTTAAAAAGCTGTTTTCTTTCTTTTCTTTGTGCCTCTATACTGCTAGTATTTATTCTCAATTTCCAATGACGAATATATTGCTATGGAGTATTAACATGCTCTTCCCTCCGTTATTTATCTATTTATTTATTTATTTGTTTATTTGGGACTCATTCTTTAGGGGAGCAGAAAGCCTCGTCTTTCTCAGAACTGCTGGTGGTTTCAAACTGCTTACCTTGTGATTAGCAGCCTACTGTGTAACCATTACTCCATCCAGGGCAGGGAGCCTTCCCTCCTTTATTTTTATGATAAAACGATTCACCTTTGGTTACCATCTCGGTCTGGCACAGTGTCCAATCCTTTCGATTTCTTATCACAACCCCAGAAGGCATCTTTATTTTACACCTGAGGAAATAGAGACGCAGAGCAAGACATAGGAAAGAAATGAGGCTCCATCACAGGATCTTTCTTATTGTTCCTTATAATATGAGTATCAACAACATTGTCCTAAATGCAAATTATTGTAATCTCTACCAGTTTCTAAGATGTGGCTCTCCTCCACCTTTTCCAGAAGCAGAAAGGCAAAAGAGACAGGACGTTTGTGATTTCCCAAAGCTGACACAGTAAGGGGTGGTGCAGAAATGGGAAACTGTCTCCTGTGACTAGCCCTTAGTGGATTAAGGAGTGTTAGAGGCGAAGCAACTAGAGATCCCGACAGCCACTGAGCTCGGTGCTGACTTGAATACCAGTAATGTAACTAAAGATAAGTACCCGCATAGAGGGCAGGAGATGCCACCGGAAACAGGATTGGGCATTTCTTAATGTTTGTCGCATAAACAGAATTTGGCAATTGTTAACAAGTTTGTTGTTCCAGGTGCTGTTACACTACCAAACTGTCAGTGAGCCCGCCGTTATTAAAAGATTGATCAGCGTCTTAAACAAAACCACGGGCGAAGTCACCAAGAAGAAGCCTAAGTGGGTGTTTAGTTTATTTACTTATTACACGAGTGCTTCCATGAGGGCGTGGCCATGGGCAGTTTACGCACATTCCTCATGAGGGGACCGATTTGCTGATATGCAACTTTGTGGTATTACGTGTTCCAGAAATCAAGGACTAGACTAAAGCAAACAGACAAATCCGTACGCTCTTGTTTAAATGTAAATGCTAGAGATAGTTTGCTGTGTGCGGTGGTAGGAAGGTGACTTGTAAATACAAATGTCTGTGTAGGTCTGAAGTCCTAGGTACAGAGGTGTAAAGGGGGGTGGGGCAGGGGGCCACTTAAATCCTGGGAAGCGTTTTGAAGGATGAATTGGCACTCTACGTAGCCACACCTTCCGGTGGTAGCTGAGTGCTTCCTCGGCTTTCCCGTCGTTTCCTCCAGGAGCATCCTCCCTGTGCTCAGGCCAGCCTCACGAAGAACATGACTGGCTTACCCCCACGGAGAGGTGTGTTCTGGATGCTCAGAGCCCCTGGGAGCTGCACGCAAAGGTGATGCCTGTCTGTTGGCTCTCCTCTGACTTGTGATAGCCAGGCCGGCTGAGTGTGGGCAGTTCCCGTTCACATGAGAAAAGATGAGGGCTTTTTGAAAAAAGGAAGTGCTTCCTGAGAAACCAAGTTCTTGAAATAAAAATGAAATGCAAGAGGCTGGAGACAAATGTTACAAAATGCAGGTTTCTTACCCAAATTCCTCTAAAGACTATTCACAGTCTGGCTTGGCGGCTTCAGCTGTGGGGTTTTCCTCGTTTCGGTCCTGTGGGGAATCCCACTCAGAAATGCCCCTGGTTTACGCTTTGGTTGTCCCCCCTCTTTTGCACCTGTGTAGGTGGTTAGTGGCTTAAAGGGTTGGCTGCAAGTTGAAGAGACCTTCTCATGACTCTAAGCCTGTTCCTCCCGTAGCAAGGAGGAAAGGCCACTAGGTCTCTTTCTTGAAGAGGTTTCTTTCTTTCTAGCCTGAACCTTTAGCTTTTGGAATGAAGTGTCCCCGAATCCTTCCGGGAAATGTGAGACAGAACTGACATTCCTGGGAGACGGCTGTCTGCTCTGTGCAGCCATTGCTGCTCCCACTTGGTTTATCTGCTCAGCCACCATGCGAGAGACCCAACGATGGTTTCTCAGAGAGCCTTCGTTTCCATCTCAGGGTCACAAACACGGCACAGAGCCAGGGGTGTAGCCCAGTCACTGCGTCACCTTGTTGGCAGAAGCCAGGTTGCTTGTCCTAGGCGCGGGTTTGGAGAATTCTCAATCTGGAATTGACTTGGCTCATCCTTATCTTACCCTGCCTTCCCCTGCCTGCTGTAGAGCCCCAGCTCGATGGCATGCTCCTCTACAGGGGCCTTCAAGAAGTTCATGAGGAAATCCCATTATCTTTTCATTCCATTGTCCCATGAACTTTGATTCTCCTGTTAGCATCCCCGCCCCTCTTCCCAGTGGTTTCCTTGTAACTTAGTCATGTCTCTTCTTTTGCACCAGCACCATGTGGCCCTAATCCTTCATGAGGCACATAATGGACCGTTATGCTGGGTGAAGTTGAACTTTCCAGAAACGAAATCAAGAGTAATCTGTGAATTTATTGGATGCTGTCTTCCAAATCAAACTTTGGAAATTTGGGTGCATTTTCTGGGAACCTCTCTAGTGTCATCTATCCATCTGTCCCCAGCAAGGGGAGTTTACAGTTGCTCTTCCCGGTCCTTCTGGAGCACAGTGAAATAAATTGGATAGCATTTTCAAAATGTCTCTGCTTGGATTTTGTCCCTAAGCACTCGCTTGGGGTGGGGTCTGTGCACAAGGTTCTGTGCTTTTTGTCAGGTTTGTAAGAAGCCCTTTATAATCTGGTTCATGCCCCAGGCCCCCCTCTGGTTTCAACAAATGTATTTTGAAATATCTCTATATGTAACTTTTGTCCTGGACTTTTTAAAAGAACTGCTGCTCTTCAGTGGGTGTGTTAGGAATTCAGAGTTGTCATTTGGTACCAGGAGATTATAATCCTTTTTTAAAAACAGCTTCCTAATGTACACGTCCACTAATTAGAATTTTACCTGAACAGATATAGGGAATTGGACTTATCTTTTAAGCACAAATAACCCCTTTGTAGGAGTCAGCCTTCCTGCCACTCTTCTAAAGGTAACTTTTCCATTTTCCAGCAAAGATCTACAAATAAGAGTATGAACTAGAAAGCATTGGGCAGGAGGGGCCTCGTGCATTTCAAGACTGTGATGGGCCTTTGAAGGGTAGATTGTGATCAGAAGACCAATAGAAACATAGGTGAACCAGCTACTGTCTCAACATTTCATTCCGCTAGCTCAGGAAACTCAATCTTTCGTTTAATTTTTTTCTCTTTATTTTTGGTATTGATTATTCTTATTTTTATTGTATTGATTATATATGGGAACTGTTTCTTTGTCCAGTTGTTGCTGTCACATTTATTCGGTGCTATTGAATACTGAGTGTGGGTTGCGCTGAGTCAGCACCGACTCAGTGGCAGTGCTTTGGTTGACTCTGCTTGTTTTCCTTTGGTCTGGTAGGTTACTGACCAAGGGCCAGAATGCATTGGTGGAGCTACAGACACAAAGACCGATTGCTCTGGAGCTGTACAAAGACTTTAAAGAACTGGGGCGGTTCATGCTGCGTTACAGCGGGTCTACAATAGCTGCTGGTGTCGTCACCGAGGTATGTTCCAGCTACTGATTGGACACCTGTGGTTATCATGTCTCCTACCCCCTTTAATTGTCACATTGCGACGTCGGGGGTCCTTGAGTGAGCAGTTCACATGCTCGCTACTAACCCAAAGTTTGGAGGTTCAAGGCCAAGCTGAGGCACCGTGGACAAAGGCTTCTGAGAAAGCAGGCATCGGAAGCCCTGTGGGGCAGTGGTGCTGTGGCACACATGGGGTCACCAGGAATTAGAGTCGGCTTTATGGCAACACGTGGTGAGGTGAACTGAACTTTTATGACTGAATACCCAGTTGTTAGGTTAGAACACAGCATTAAAATGTATACTAAGAAACTAAAGGAATGATAAGAAGAGACCATTTGGTCTTAAAACTTCCTATCTTGAGTCTTTTAAACTCAGTTCTCACCTCAGAATTAAAGGGAATCTATTGGAAAAATAGATCTATAAGAAAGTAGAAAGCAAATGTTTTGAGAATGATGATGGCAACAAATAATACAGATGTGCTTGACACAATGGATTGTGATAAGAGTTGTACAGTCCCCAATAAAATGATTTAAAAAAAAGAATAGGATCCAACTTGTATTCCAAAAAGAATGGAATACAACTTTTAGGATTTAAATGAATTAGGAACAAGAATTTCTATCAATAGAAGAGCTTTCCTTTTTTTTTCTTTAATTACCTCTTAGTGCATTTAAAATAGTTCCTTCAAAGTCCTTAATTAGTCCACACTTTGTGTACTAGTAATGTTTCCGAAACGTATCTGTTAGATAAAGTAAGGTGTACTTGTGTGTGGATTAAAATAGCACACTAATGAAGCCAGAGAAAACCACCCTGGAATTTCCTTCCACACTGCCACGATGAGTGCAGCTCTTTTTAATATATTATATATTCATATATTGTCATATATTGTATTATATATGACATATGATTATATATCATATAGTTTATATATAACATATTATACATGCTATATGTATTATGTATATTAAACATTGCTATATTATATTATATATCCTATATTAAAATACTATGAAAGGCAGGGGTTGTTTTCATGAAATTTAATTCGTGTCATTGGATGTGCATGCACTTTGGTCACGGACTACTAAGTTGCATCAGAATTTGGTTCCACCTGTGTTATGTAAAACACTCGGAAACTTGGTGTACACCATTGATTTAAAGCCTCTGTGGAGGCAGCAGGGGTTAGAGGCGAAGCGGAAGGGCTCTGGTGCTGAGCTGCCCACACTGCGATCTTGCTCCCAGCTCCCAGCAACACCGGTGTAGACTCTTGCCAGGGTGCTTTCGTCGGAGAAAGCACGGCGATGGAACCTGCGCGGGTGGCCGGGGTTGGAATGGACTGCACAGGATCTGGTGCTGTTGGGAACCAAGACGACCCCCATGAAGTGCGGGGCTCCGTGGTCACACACGTGGGGCAGCCGGACCACGAGTGGCGGTCGTCTTCACCAACAGCCGGTGCAGTCCAACAGGGCATTCTTCATACATGTGCAGTGCGGGTCAGTTTCTGGGGAAGGAAATGGTGAGATGATATTCACTCTCAGAAGTGACAGGCCTGGGGGGCCAGGGAGGACCCACCGGGGAGCGTTTCCTGATGCCACGATCCCTTTGCTGTCATTTCCCTGTGTTACTATTGTGCTGCTCTGGTCATCTGATTGGTTAACTTATAACGCATGGTCTATTGTGGTTGGTTTTCTCTGCAGATCAAAGAATGATGGGCCAGAATTCCTGTCTGTTACCACATGCAGTGACACGGCAAACCTCAACTTTTAAAAGGCTCCAGTGATAACGTAGTGAAAGGAACAAGGTGCAGTTGATAACTTTTAGATGGGAGAAAAGTAAAGCGCCATCCTCAGCTACAAGGATGAATTAATGATCACGCCGGCAAAAAAAAAAAAAAATTTAAGTTGTCAACTGGCAAAGAAAGGCTAATATTGCACTATCATTTGAAAGGAAAACAATTTTTTTCTTTTGAGATTTTAGTGAATGGATCTCCCTTACTGCGATTTATGGAAACTGTCAGAAAAAAATATATTAGAAGATATCAAATTATCATGAAATGAACTCTACTTTAGCAAAACCACATGTTTACAATTTTCTCTCTTGTTTTTCAATTTTACTGTGTACTTTTTAAGGAAAAGTAACTAAATTGTATTGTTGAGGTAGTTAATATTTAACCTGTTTTGTGTGGAGCTTAGAATGTGACAAAAAAGCTTTTGAAATCTGGATTGGGAATTAATGGAAGCTGTTTGTTGGGAACTGAGCTATTTGCGATTTAAAGCTTATAATAAAATGCCTTAGCAGTTTGAGCATAACAGAAAGCGTGCTTCGTTTCTCAGACACCGATGAGGGGTTCCTATCACAGTCACTAAATCAGACTTGGGGGTTTGTGGGGTCTGTTTCACCTAAGGTTTTCTGGCTGCTTTCACATGAATTCTTGCATTTTATCCAAACACAAATCAAATATAGTCTCCTTAAACAGTGCTCTTTAATATTAAAAGTAGCACATTTTTACTAATTAAAGGTGGCTACGTCTCGAGCCTCACTTTGATTCTGCGGTGGGTGGTGCAGGGTGCTGGCCTTCTTAGACCTGGTCTGGAGCACTGCTGTCTAGGGCCGGGTGAGTGTATAGCCAGTCCCTCCACCTACTTCCCTAGTCTTCCATGGTGGAGGATGGTGGCAGACAAGTCCCCCCACCCTTGGCCCCAGCATTCAGGTACACCTTATCAATTCCATCCTAAGGTCTGCTCCCAGAGCTGGGTGGTCTCTTTCTGGGAGCCTGGGATGGGTGTCATCCCCGAGACCCAGGTGTCATAGAAAGATCCCGTCTCTGCCCTGTTGCTCCTGCACCTTGACAGGTGTCAGTGTGAACTCTGGTGACTGTTCTGCCAGAGCTGGCCCCGTGTTTTAAGCTGGACAAGTCTCCCTGCCCCTGTCCTTTCTTGTTCTCAGAATGGTGGTCTGCAGCACCCAGCTCTCCATCCAGCGTGAAGAGAGAAGCGATGCGGAGTGCGGCTGTATCCCTGGGGAATTGACTGCATCGACGAAGAAGTCTGCGTTAAAAGGTCCATGCTTTTTTTTTTTATCCCAACTCTCTGGGAAATTTCTTGAAAATACCTTAAATGATACAGGCCAATTAAAATAATTCTAGTGGAAATCGGTCCAATAGCCTTTCCCTTGGTCAGAATGCCTCTTATTCAGGAAGTCAGGAAGCTGTCCGGATTACTGCCTCCTGGGAGCTGGAAGTTGTGGAGTCTGATGCCCGGCTGGTTGTGGGGAAAGAAAAGAAAAGTAGTGAATGCTCATTCGAAAGGTATTGTTGGGACCATTTCTCCATAGTTCACTTTGCACAACGCTTTTCCACAACTAGGCTGGGTCCACGGTACGGTGTGTTGTCATTGATTACCCTTGGCCATTTGACCCAGAACACCTGCATTATCCGCATCCCCTGTGCATGGCACTTGTCGGAGAGGATGTAAGCTGTCGGTCATGCCTTTGTTTGCGGAAAGGAGACCTTTGCCCTCCAGAAGCCTGCAACAGTGCCTACATGTGGGGCTCACTCTCCAGGGCCTGTCTCCTGCAGGGCGGAGCATCAAGGAGAAATGATGAAATGCTCTGCTGTATTATGTCTGCCCATGACAGCAGAGGCCGGTTTATACTGTGCTACAGATTGACATACTGCCTTGTGTGCTGAGCTTCACCATGTCACAAAACCCCTCCATTCAGTGACTTGGCAACTCCACCTCCTTTCACTGCAATCTGCTGACACAGCGCTCTTTGGTCTCGTGGGCGGTCACCAGCAGGCTACACTCCCACCCACAGTCCCACCCAGGCCAGAACTAGCCACCGGGCCTCCCCAACCGGAAAAGGACTGAGAAATGGTTGTGAGAACTGAACATTTGAAAAGATTAGTGGTGCCCCCCACTTGGGGTCCCCTAGCACCTTCTAAAAATGACAGTTTAATACACGGGTATGTGTGTGGGTGATGTCTGTTTTCATTTGAGACAGCCTGGGACTCAGGCCCCTTGGACTTGACCCTTCCCTTGTTCCCTTTTCCTCCGCATGCACTTTCTCTTAAGGGTCCGGCCTTCAATGTGTGGCTGTTCTTCCTGGGTGAGGCCAGCTCGTTCAATTGAGAGCTACATGCCCGACGGCAGGGGCATGTGCCCCAGTTCCCCCGAGGGGAGCACACAGCCACAGAAGCCACCAGGGTTTCAAGAGTGGCCGCTTTACATAGCACCCCACTGAGGTGGGCGATGCTGCTGCAGTGCTGCCTCCTCGCAGGGAGCACGTGGAGGCCGAGCGAGGGGACGGGGAGGACAGGCGGCCATTAGACTGCTGGGAGTGAGGCACATACACCCCTGGGGTGCTTCATCTTGGATTGTGATGGACACACAGCACACCCTGGGCTGACAGAGTGAAAGCTCTGTCTAGAAAGCAAATGGTAACAAGAGATTCTCCCAGGCGAAATGCTATCCCCTCTCCACCTGCCCCATGTCCAGTCTGACGTCTCTGGACAGCAACGCTGTGGTTCGGGCCAGACATGTTCATGTTACTGCAGCCTCTGGTTACTCTCACTCTGCATAGACCCTACTGATCTCACTCTGCCCCCCTGCCCCACCACCTGGGCCTGCGGGACTCTCTTGCCCCTAGGCTCCCCAGGCCTCGGGCGGCGGGGAGTGCACAGCGCCTGCATTACAGGGGGCATACTCCTGCTTCTGCCCTGCACAGACAGAGGGTACAGCTCCCTGAATGCCTGCAGGCACTCAGCTCTCCGTTGACCTGACAAGTTCAGCTGGCCCTCTTGTACTCTTCAGTGTTAAACTCTCGTCTTCTGGGCCTGCATCTGAATACACGCTCCATCCAGACTCCTTGAGATGGGTGAGGTCACCTGAGCCTCCAAACACACTGCCATCCAATCAATGCTGATTCATAGCCACCCTTTATATAAACCTCATCCTTGTCCATTTCAAGGCATGGATCGCCCAGCAGGACGGTGAACAGGTGAACTTCAGTGGACCATAAATCATGATTTGCATAGCTGGCTACTAACCAAAAAGGTCAATAGTTTTTAACTACCAACCGCTGCATGGGAGAAAAATGAGGCTTTCTACTCCCGTAAAGAGTTACAGTCTCAGAAACCCACAGGGACACATCAACCCTGCCCTAAGGTGACCAGACATCCCGCTTTTGGCGAGACAGTCCCAATTTTTAATAATTTTTCCCCACATCCCGTGGCGTTTGAATGCATGACAAGCTAGGGTGTCTCACTTTACCAATGTTAAAATCTGGTCACCTTACTATATAGGGTCACTATGAGACGGCACCCACTCAGTGGCATTGAGTGTGAGCCAGCCATTCTCTGAGAGTTACAAGACCCTGTCCAGAAAGATCATATAAAAGCCGTTTGTGGCAATAAATTGCAGTTGCAAGAAGGAGGCTTTTCAATTTCCCAGTACACGATGTGATAGCTGGCGTGCTCTTGTAGCGATTGCCCGCATTCACAGACTTAGCTGGGAGAGAGCTGGGTAAGGAATCTGGGAGGCAGAAGGAGCAGGGGAACAGGTATTTCCGGGCTTAGAGTTAACCTGGTGACTGACTCTCCTCACCCCGCCTTATCCAGCTGAAGTCTCCCCCTTGGACTCCTTCATTCCACTGCACAGAGCTCCTACTTCCCGGCACCGCCTTTCTGCCTGACCCTCGTCCCTGCCAGGGATGCTTCCATGCTATTCGTGTGTGCCACTCTCTCCCCAACTGCAATGTGTATCCTTTCTGCCTCGGTTGCCCGTATCTTCCAGTAAGGTGCCTGGTTTAGACCAATTCACTCCCATCAGCACAGCCGGCCACCTGCAAAGCACATGGTATTCATTGCTGTCAAGCCAGCTCATGGGCACCCCACGTGCACAGGGTAGAACTGTCTCATAGTGCTGCCAAGTCTGGCCTTTGGGAAACAGGTCACCAGTCCTTTTGTGCAAGGCACCTCTGGGTTTGTTCCAAACACCAACCTTTGGGTTTGCCAATAACTTGACTATTTGTGTTACCAGTGACCCCCCAGTACTTGGTGGGGCTCTCTAACTCAGGTACTGCCTCCCTTGTTCAGAGGAAACACTTTCGCCCGCCCCTGCCCCCATCTCTGAAGTGAAAGCACCCTATCGCATTCTGGGATATTCTAGGGCCACCAGTCCCCCTTGCTTATACTAAGAATGTCGCCTTGCTCATTTTTGTTCGGTTGATCTGAAAGTCCCAGGTTCCCTCCCTCTCCTCCTGTAGGACTGGGTGCTAAACCCCGCCCCCAGCCCCACCCCCGTCCCCACTGTCCCCACCGCTGGAGTGTGGTGGGAGTAGATGCAGTTGCAACACCCTTCCTGGGTAAGTTCAAGGGGGCATGGCAAGAAAGTGCCATGGAGAGGGGGTAGGGGCATCAGCCAGGAGAGTAAGGTACAGTGGGAGGGGCCAGGAAGTCCGGTCTCAGTGACAAGGCCCAGATTCAAGATTTGATGTCTCTTCAAGGGAACAGAGAAGAGAAAGAGTGGCCCCACGTCTAGAGAGGACTCCGGGTAGCAGGATCTGGTCAGACTCGGTGAGACAGCAAGCTCTGCCCTCTGGGCGGGACCACGGAGTCAGGTCCCCGGTTGACCTGCAGGTGGGGACAAAGAGCTGCGCCGTGGCCAACAATGGGTCACCTTCACTGAGGGATCCAGGAAGGGCGGTGAGGAGTCACCACCCAAGGAAAATAGGGACCAAGTCCAGCCTGGCCCACAGACAGCACAGGAGACCACGGAAAAGACTAGGCAGGTGTGCTCGGGCCTGGCCTTCTCCAGGCGCCATGGGCCCCTGTCCCACAGCTTTCTGCCCTTGGTGGCAGAACACGCCTCCCCGGGGTCTGCCTGGGACCTTGTTTCTGCCTCCAGTCAGATCGCCCTTGGTCCTCAGTGGAGTCCTTTGGCATATTAAGAGCTATAAATAAGCAAGCATTCAGCTCAATCAGTAGTATGGTTTCCTTCAGTTACCTAGTCAAATGTCCTTTTTTCTGAGTAACTTAGGCGAGATAAGTCTCAAATATGGGTTGGAGGCAGAGGATGAAGCATTGTTTCTTAGCCTGAAGCGCTTGGGGGAAGCCTGAGCTTCCGAGAGGTTCCTGAGGGGCAAGGAAGGCCGCAGAACGGAGCGGGCCGATGGTTGCCCAGCCTTGGCAGCCCACGTCCACAGCTCGCGCTCGGCTGGTGCGATGAGTGAGCTCTGCAGACCGTCCTCCGTCTTCCCCGCACGCTCTTGCCAGATGGCTCTCTTTGGGTGGCAGGCCAGAGGAGGTTCAGGAGGGAGTGTGGGAGAAGAGACCACCCTGTCCCGAGTCCCGGCCAGTGTCGCCAGAGCCACAACCCACAGCTCCTACTGCAGCATCTCCCCACCCCACCCCCACCCCTTAGATGTCCCAGCACCACCTGGAGATGTGAAGGGGATCATCTTCAAATCATCTTCAAGCCTCTGGTTTCCGGTAGCTCAGCTTTCCCTCTGTGTTCCACTCTACATGGTGGCTGCTTTTTGCATCACTCTTACCTAGATCAGTGGCTCTCAACCTGTGGGTCGCAACCCCTTTGGGGGCTGAACGACCCTTTCACAGGGGTCGCCTAGGACCATCAGAAAACATCCATTTCCCATGGGCTTAGAAACCGAGATACCACTCCTCTATCCGTCTCCAGGCCGGTCCGCCCACGTGCAGATATGCCCACCTATGAGTCCCCTGCATGAAGACTCTTACCCATGCTACACCATGCTTCAAGACAAAATTTCATTTATTTGTCATTAGAAATATATATTGCACAATATATAATGACATTGTTTTTGTGATGAATCACAATGCTTTTATTATGATGTTCTATTTGTAGCAATGAAAATACATCCTGCATATCAGATATTTACATGACAATTCCTAACAGTGGCAAAATGACAGTGATGAAGTAGCAATGAAAATAATTGTATGGTTGGGGGGTCACCATGACATGAGGAACTGTGTGAAAGAGTCGCGGCATGAGGAAGGTTGAGAACCACTGCGCTAGGCGGTGTGGTGCCTTGTGGAGTGGGCTGCTCTCAGAAAGGCAAGCAGTTGGAAGCTCAGCGGCTGGGTGAGGCTCTACGCCCGGAAAGAGCTGAAAGTCAGCAAGCTGTAGGAGCCAGCTCTTAGACCCTGTGACTCAGTGGCTGTGAGTGAGAATGTCCGGCATGTCTCAGTAGCCCTGCATGCTCTTGGAACCTTCCACCGTCTGGGTAGTCATTTCCCTTTCTTGGGAATGCCAGCGCATTCTTTGAACACCTGACCTGTCTCTAGAGAAGGGCATCCTGCCTGGTAAAGTTGAGGGGCAACGAAGAAGAGAAAGGCCCTTCATAAGATGGATTGACACAGTGGCTGCAACAAGGGGCTCTGGCCTAAGCACAGTGGTGAGACTGGAGCAGCAGGCGATGTCTCCTCCCCCCCTGCCTGGGGTGGCCGTTAGGCAGAGTCGACTCGGTGACACCCCACCACTATCACCACCTCTGCCACCACATCTGCTACCTC